TCTGGGCTCTCTTGGGTGGGGAAGGATCCACTACCAAATAAAATATGGATTTAAATAAGGGAAAAAAGGGAGGAGGAAAAAGTTCTGGTGGTTTGTGGATTGGAGGGGTGGGGGAAACAACTGGAGGTTCTGGAGATGGTGGAGCTGGAAGCACTTTGTGCCACGGGGGCTGGATTTTGAGATGCTGGAGCTGGTGGAGGATGGAGCAGGTTCAGTGCCACCTGTGATGGTGGGACTCATCCAGGTGATGCCATCAGGCACAGTGGCAGCTGGTGACCAACATGTCCTCAAAGAGGGTGGAGACCAACCTGCCCTCACCATCGTAGTGCATCAGCACCATGGGGTCATAGGCAGCGGGGACGCAGCAGGGCGGGGGGGTGGCTTTGGACAGGGCGTGCACACGGGCCTGGATCTGGGCGTGCATGCTGGCTGCCTTGTAGTTGTGGGGACAGGAACCTTGGCAGAACCTCATGTGGTAGCTGTTGGGGGCGATGATCCAGTCTGACCAGCCGATGTCCTGGAAGGAGACCTGGAGGGTCTTGAGGCAACACTTCCCGTCGCTCTTCCCACATTCCTCATCCAGCCCACGGGCTTTCCTGGACCCTCGACCTCTCCTGGACCCCCGTGCTGTGTTCTCATAGGTTTCCACCTCCAGGACCAGTGTCCCATCCCCTGAGGTGGCCAACATGGCTGAGACATCCGTGGTGAAGCTGAGCTCCAGGTGCAGCGTGTCCCCAGGACCGGTGGCCCAGGGCTGGATGGCTGCTGTGAGGTCCAGGCTTGGGGAATCAGCTCCCAGCTCTTGGCTGTGCAGGAGTTGGGGGGTCCCGTGAGCCCCTTCCAGAGTGTAGATGCTGACCCGGGGGGGCACCGAGGTGTTGAGCAGGGACATGCCAGGGGATGTCAGGGTTTGGCGGAAGAGTTTCAGCTCCGCCTGCACCACCTGGAGCTGCCGGTGGAAAGACTCGGTGCGGGAGAGGAGGAGGTGGTACCGGTAGGGACCGCGGGGGCCTGGGGGGCTCTGGGGGTCCTGGTGTCCTTGGGGGTCTGGGTGTCCCCAGGGGATGTCGGGCTGGCGCAGCACTGTGGGGACAGGGAGGACAGGCAGGTGAGAACCAGCAGGTCACCCCACCAGCCCCCTGAGCAGCCAAACCGCTGCTTCCAGGAAACCACCCAGATCCCGAGGGGTCGGGGAGATCCAGCCCCATCCTCAGCCCCACATCACACACCGTCCCT